CTGCCGTCTGACAAATACAGGAGAGGCTAACCATCGTGGATGTCAAAGAAAACAACGTGAAGGAGTGCTGGAGTAAGTGAACACAAAATCAGTGGGGCTGCTCCTTCCGGGCGTGCCTTGTTTGTGGGTGTCTACGTGGGGAGGAGGTGTCTATCTCGAGGTGATGGAATTCAGTGAACTTGCTGCTGGCTGTGCTCCGGCGGCCGAGAAGGGAGCCGGTCGGTGTCAGGCGGAACCAAGCTGCCAAACCCTCCCTGCCCAGCCTCTGATTTTCCTTTTAGGGCAGACGGCCCACCGGCTCGCAGTCGCGGCCCAAGGCGGAGGCGGCCTTCCCGGATTCGAGGGCAGGCGGGCTTCAGCACTGCCGCCTGGAGGGTGGGGTGGGCTTCTCACGGGGTCTCACCCCTCGCCACCAGGGATGGTGACTGCCAGCCGCAGCTGGGCGCTGAAGGTGCTTTCCACCGGGTACCCGCGTTCTCCCTCCCGCTACCGTTGGTTATGTACCCGGCTGTGTCCCGTGCTGGGACCAGACCCGGGGGCCTCCGAATTGTCCAGGGCGACCCGCACACAGCCCAGGGGTAGGGTCGACCGCAGTCCGGGGCCGGCCGCTCCAGGCGTCTGCCCCACCCGGCCGCGAGGCTGGGACCCGCTGCTCCCTCCGGCCGGACTCGACGCACTGGCCGAAGCGCGCGCGGCGGGGGTGGACGCGCCAGGACGACAGCGGCTGGGCATTCCCCGAGCGGCAGGACCCGGCGTCAGGAGCCGGGAGCCGGGGGCTGGGACAGGTCCGCCAGCGGTGTCCCGCGCTGGCAGCCGGCCGCTCCCCTCCGCCGCCGCACCCACCCAGTCTCAGCAGGCATTTACATAAACTTAGCAAAGTTTTCATCAACTGCTCTGGGCTGACCAGCTTACTTCTGATCGGGAAGTAAGACCGAGAGAAACTAACACATCTCACTGATTTTAACACCTATTAGGTGCGCCCTAGATTCTACTTTTGGTGCACATGCCCGGCTTTTATCTTAATAGGCAGCAACCACAGCTCTCCGAACAAATTCGTTCTGTCAATCTCATGAAAAAGGAAGTAAAGAAATTTCGATTATTTCCTTTCTGGTGCTCACTCCTTTCGCAATAATTAGCTTGACTTTGGGAAAAGTAAGCCTCCAGTCTGGAATGGAAGCTCCGCAAGGGCAGGGAATTCTGTGGGCTATTTTCGCTGATGTATCTCGAAAGGTTGGTACAGGGTCTGGCACACAGTAGGTGCCCACTAACGTTCCCACGCCCGCGTTCTCTTATTCCCATCTTGCTGAAGCGATGCATGACGCCAGTCAGAGGTGGTGTACATGCGACGCCCGCTAGTGCCCATTGAAGCAATGGCCCTTCTTCACAGGACCCTTTTAGACTAGCAGAGTACTAGGACCCAGTTTTTCCCTGTATCCCAACGATAGAAGCCATATTTTTGGGTGATAGCTTCCTACATTTAGGGCCTGGGAAGAAGAGGCATTTTGCAGGAAATACGAAAAGAAATTCCACGTTTTCTTTTGCATTTCCTTTTAACGATCAAATATTAGAAAAAAAAATATGAAAGGCTATTCGTATATTGTCTAAGCAATTACAATTAACACATTTCTTTTTTTATCAACACAGGAAATACCCATTTGGGAAACAATAAGTCCACAGAGATTAAAAAAATTGTAAAGGGGTTATGCTGATTATCCTATAGCTGCTTGTATTTTTTTTTCCAGGCTAGCCGATGCTGAGCACACAACTGTCATTCAATAAATACCAGCTAAATGAATAGATTATTTCCACAATATCTCTCAGAGGAAAAACATGTTCATGTAACTAGCTTATTTTTCTTCATTTTTTAAGAAGAAATATATATTTTTAAAGACTTTATTT